TTGTAGCGAATCAAGAAAATAGATTCTTTCGTTATACATTGACAGACGGAGCGAAAATGGAGATCTTTGCAAAATGAATTTGTGCCTACTTGAGCACAATTAACGATCATCGTTAATCTTTATATTTTATAGCTCTACTATCACTTGCCTTGCCTTTTGTGTTTGCTGCACAGAGACCAACTGTACAGGGGCGAAAAATGACACATCCTGCTTCACCGACATCTATGGAGCGCAACGGAGTACCCCAACGGTCAGGCCCAGCATCTACCTCAAGTAAGGAACGTTGGAGACCACCGAGAAAGAAGCGGGAGAAGTTAGTAGGGGCACCGTTTGAATGGCGTCGTCGGTTGCCGACACCACTAGAACCTGAAAGATCGGCTACAGCCATGCATTCAAGGTTAATCATTTTGAGGTCTCTGGAACAAAATGTATGAAAGCCAAAGAAATAAGAAACAAAAGTTTTAAAACGGGAGCACATAAACATTTTTTTATTCAGGATAATGGGAAAATAGATTATAAATGAATACTGAATAGCAAAGATGAACCCTAGCGAGCATAGAATGTAAGTGATTCTTAGTTGGCAATGGAAAGAAAATACGTAAGTCGGACCATCGTAGTTGTGACTAAATAGAAATATGTTCAAGCATGGCTGATTTTAACACCATCTAAGTCACTTACGTAGCTTGAGTGGCGAGACGAGCGAATTTTGTATAAGCATACAGCCCATTCGAGGCAAGCACATAAACGAGGTGTTCTGAAGCCTTTGGAGAAGGCATCACTTGGCGCAGATCAGCAGGAGTAGAAAAGTTCAGGACTGAGCTTCGAAAAGAACCAATACCGCTGCCACCACCAGTCCGATCAAGAATGTTAGGAGTCAGAGCAGGAACCGGTGTTGACACATATTGTTCCAGAAATGAGGAATAGAAGGCACTCAGCTGTCCCTATGAGGTAATCGGTAGGGTTCGTAGTCGAGATGGGGAAAAAAGTGAAGTATAACGTTGGCTGATCCTTTGGCTCCTAGTGAATACTCAGAAATCAAGAACACTTAGTGATGATAGAACTGGTTTTCTATAATGCACACAGAGACTAAGGTTATCCAAAGGCATAGCTTACTTATTATAAGACTGTGATTTGCTATGATTTAACTACCACTTTTATGCTGCTTATTTGGAGCCTATACTTTATTCAACAAGCCAACTGGAAGAATAAAATTGTGGCTGTAAATGAGCCGGGAATATGATTATAAAATCTTTACATATAATAAAAT